TGCTGGGGTGGCACGGCTGAGCTGGGGCGGGGGGACCTTCACCCCGCGGTACCGGGCGCTGCTGCGGGGCTCGCCGCCCTCGAGGGCGCGAGGTGAGGCCTTGCGCTGGGGCAGCACCACGCTGTTCCCCAGAGGCTGTGTGCGGGGGGGCGGGAGCACCCCGGGAGGAGCCAGGCTGACCCCGAGGCGCCTCGGGCAGGAGAAGGGGTGTCAGGCCTTCGCCAGGCTCTATCCTGCCTCTGCGTGGGGCTGAGCAGCACGGGGGGACAGCAGGGGGAACGCTTTGTAAAGCACCCGTGGCTCCAGTCCTTCATAATCTTTCCAGTGCTGGGGTGGCACCTTCACAGAGAACAGGCAAGCAGAGTTGGAAAGGTGCAGAGGGCTCTGCTGCAGTGAAAGGGGTTTCCTAAACCAATACGGGTTATAACCTGGCTCTCTCCCACCTGTTTGGTGCGGTGTAGGGTCTGGCTGGGCACACAATTTGAGTATGGCCAGCTGGCTCACTTCTCTCCCCAGCAAGGAGAGCCCTTCAGTTGGCTGCGTGGTGATCCTGTGTGAGATCTGCGGAAGAGCTGAGTCCCTCTTTGCCACCTGTTTATAGAAGCACAACAGGAAAACATTTGCTGCACCAAAGAGCTTGTTAACGTAAGGCAGAAAGCAAAAGAATAGTGCATAAAGCACCCCAGCTGTCAGACCACTGCTGCAAGATGCCTTACATCTGAAATATGAGACTCTCGCTGTCTGTTCTGTCAAGGTCTGTGGCAAAAACAGGGTGAAAAACATTGCAAATGTCCAGTGTACTTGAGTTTGCATTCACGTTCCCTAATGCTTTGTTCCTCTCCCTGCTGGCATTATGTTAAATTTAAAGCCAATCTGAGCAAGATTCAGGTTCTACCAGGCTGCTAAAGATAATTAGTGGTCTTAATCCCTTTTTCTATTGAGAGACATTTATACAATGGACTCCTGAAATTCAAAACAGTCCTAGCAGACTTTTGCTATTACGTGCCCTGAGTTCAGCAGACCAGAGTGATGCATCTCGCTTTGCCTTCTAGTTATAATGCAGTCTTGATTTGCAGTAGGCTGCTAATCTCAAGCAAGTACCCAATATTCCTAAAACGTCATGTATTCTGTGCTCTGGTTCATGCCACAATCAATAATTCATGTGTTGATAACAGCCCCATTAGCTGAGATTAACCTAGTGTTCTTATTTATAATAAGAATATTCTGCTTTCCTAATGGCTTTTCTTTTTTTCAGAGAGTTGTGGTTGTGGAAGACATAAAACGATGGAAGTCTATGCTTGAGCTTCCTGGGCAACCAAAAGAGAATCTGATTGAAGCTTTGGAGGAGCTGAAGAAGAAAATACCTTCCAAAGAAGTGTTACTTTCAACAAAAATAGGTACATCTTGTCTGATCTAGACTGTCAATATTAGGCTGTCTTATGTCTGCTTGGCTTGTCAGTACAAAAGAGATGAGCTTGCAAGCTTCTTAAGAAACGAGTGTAGCTGCCAATAAAAAAATGTTGATATCCAGCCTGCAGTTTTCAGAGCTTGTACTGAAAAAGTCTTCTACCCTCTAATTCTTCCCAGGTTGCCTGCTTATTACTAAATACTGCATCACCCTTTCTGTGGTCAAATTTTTGAAGAGCTCCTCTTGGGCACCTGTGTGTCTTATTCTTTCTACTGCTATCTGTGAGGGCCATGGCAGAGTGCTTTCTTGCCATCCGAGACGTGGCTCATCTGTTTGATCTGCCTGAATCCTATGAACGTGCGAGAAATTCTCCTCAGATCGGCTCAGAACTGCTTACTCCATCCTCACGCTGAGGATGTAGATGGCCAGCTCGGTGCAAATGACACAGCCCGGCTCTTTTCCGTAGGACTTGGGGGAGGGATAATGTGAGACCACATGGTCCCTGCCTTTCCTGTCTGTGGAGAGCATCCTGGCGTGAGGGGCAGCCCTGCTGGCCTTTGTTTGCCGTCACAGCTGCTGGATCTCCATTTGGAGAGCCCCCCTTGCCTTAGAAAAGGAGATGCGATCTGCCCCTGTCCCCATCTTTCTGAACTGGTATTTCATTTGCCATGTGCAGTTTATTCCAAGCTTCTTTTCCCAGTGCCTGCCTGAACGTGGCTGGGCTGGAAGAGCCACCGAAGCCTAACAGTGACATCTCCTGGCCAACAGCGCTAGTGGTCAGAGAGAAATACCCCGCTGGAAGAAGATCCCTTTTGTCTCCTCTCAGAGGAGAGCCTTTTTTTGTGCTGGCAGGCCCTGTCGATTGGAACGATTCAGCTTGGAGTCACCGTGATGTTGGTGTGTTAAAATGCTATAGCCGTCACCAGCAACATCTGCTTCCTTAAAGGGGTTTTCGGTTTAAAACCAGCATTCTTTGTAGGCCAGTCTCACAAGCTCTCACCAGATCTAGCATCCGTGTAGAAAATTAATGTAGCCCTGTATTACGTAAGTGTTGCTCCACACCTTGGGAAGGTAATTTTCCCACGTATAGGTCAATTCCTTGCTAATTGCTCCGGCAAAAATCACTGCAGAAGTCAAGGATTGAGGACTTCAGGCTTAATTCCTAATAATTTTACATTTATATTTGGGTCAACGCTCTGGTTGTTTTGCTGATGCTCTGTGAATTAAAAATGCATGCAGCTGCTTTAGCACCCATGTGATTTGAGTGGTGTCCATTATGTTTTGTCCACCTACCAAACTTGAAGGAGCTGTTACTGTTTTCCAGGTCACACGGTGAATAAGATGCGCAAACATTCAGATCACGATGTGGCCAGCCTCGCCAAAGATATTTACACGGAGTGGCGAACTTTCATCAAAGACCATTCAAACAAGCCCTCAATAGAGGTCAGGAGTGATCCCAAGACGGAGGCTTTCAGAAAGAACGCACGGAAGCTGCTTTGTGAAGCCCTGGATCTGGAGGTAGAGTTCAGATCCGTTTGGCTCAAAGAGTTATTTCTTGTAGGACCGAGTTAAACCTTTTTCAGCCATAGCTACTGTAAAGCTGGTCCTGCCTGCAGAGTGGGGACAAGACCAGATAATCTCTTCCTATTTTCAGTGATTTTCTGCACATCTCCATTTATAAGTAGTTTTTTTACAAGGTACATTTTTTTTTTTGGTTGTTAACCAAGTAAACCTGCTAATTGTAAGGGGGGGGTATTTGCTTTCATTTTCATAGCCAGTCAGCAGAATAGTTGTGTATCTACTGCAGTTGGGCTCTACAAGAGAAGGAGGAAGTTAATAGAATATAAAGTTTTTCCTACTACTTAACAGCTGTGAAAGCAATGCTGGGACCTTTTGGGTGTTTCATATTTAAGTAATTAAACATTTGTAAATTTAAATCTATTGCAAAAACAGAGGCAAGGTTGACAGTGTATAAAGTGGTGATAAATATCAGATCCCTCAGGTATCTTTAAGTAAATGAACAGGGCTTTGCTTTAAGGCTTAATGACTAGTTTGCTTGGTCTATGAAATGCCATAATAATTATCCTTTTTAATTTATTCATTAATTATCCTTTAAATGGCAAGTCAAGTGATAAGCACTCAAGAGTTTCAAAGCTATGTATTTGCTAGCTATGAGAACAACCTCTCCAACTTCCAGTCCATCCAGACCAAGGCAGCACAGAAGGATGGTTTGCTGTGGGAGTGCCTAAGAAAGGTGGGAGCTCACCTTTGCCAGGCCTCTGGGTCAAGCTTAGTTCTTGGAAAGCACATCTATGCATGGTGATAAGGCTGATAGTAAAGTCTGAACCTTAAGGATATGGTACCACCCTAAAACAAGTGGTGCTGGGTAAAGCAGAATTGCTCTGAACAGAACTCACCTGAAAGCACGGCAAGGAAAAATACCCTTTTAGTTGCAGCTACCACCATATGTGCAAGTGGAGCTTGCAGCAGCAGGTGAACAGCATAGATGGGCAGGGAAGCCACAGAGGTCCAGCAGAAGGTGAGCAGGGACACCTGAGAGGCTGACAAAAAGGAGGAGGGAGGGTGGGGCTGAATGGATCCAAGGGGCTTCTACTGCTGCCCAGCAGAGGGGCAGGTTAGTGATGGGTAGCAAAACCAGAGTGGGCAGTGGACTTGGAGGAATACTATTTGGCACTCTGGAATCTTCTGCATGCAAAGAGGTTCCCCATCACAAAAGGCAGAAGTGAAATTAAAACCATTTCTTGATGGGTGGGGAATTTTTTTCTAAGCTATGCTAAATTACAGGTTTTGGCACATGTTGAAGCAATAACTACATAATTAACATTTAGCAAATCCCTTTCTGCATTCTTAATTACACCTACTTCTACACACAGAGAGCCCACATTTCCCTTTATAGCACCAGGCAGAGTTGCCAAGTGTTTGGCATGTCTTAGAGTTGCTGTTGGAATCAAGTTTAAAATAGTATCCAAGGTACCTTATATCAGCAAGATCAAAAGTGAGTTTTATGGAGACAGTACAGCGTGGCTTATAATTGCAGTTGAGCTTGATATCCAAAGCTAGTTGCAGATTAGTTTCCTGTTGTGATGGCAAAGTACTGCCACCCAGCTGGAGATGTGGATATGTTCCCTGCCACTGACCATGCTGCCTTGTTCCTTAATTGCTAGGGTGGAATTAAATTGCTCTTCCTGTTACACTTGTGATGGGAAGTAGATTTCCTTGAATCTAAGCTGATTAATGAAGAAACACTGAAAAGCCCCAAACTCCAATTTCAACCAGTTGGTCTCCTTATTAAATGTAAAGATCTAATTTTATACTTTGCTGTTTTCAGATTGATCACCCACTGGCTGAAAATATTGAGCGAGAAGCTTTTCATCTCTCTTCCCGTCTCATTAGCGCGCCGTATCGCAGAACGGTGCGAGCTCTTGTCTTCTCATTAAAGCACAAACCTGAAATCCGAGCAGAAGTCAAGACTGGCGCACTCACTGTCCCAGCGTTTGTACAGATCCATAAAAAGTGAGGTGTCGTGCTTGATCCTGAGTGAGAACTTGATGTGCCTACATCTCTGTGGAACCAGGAGCCCTTTCTGTCGTGAGGGGAGTGCAGAAGTGCTGACAGTGTGAATCACTTGGCACCACTCTATGAGCAGGGCTGCCGAAGACAAGAACTGCTAATGATGAAAGTGGTGCTGTAATCTGACTTGGTATAAATCTGTGTGGGCTTGTGGCAAGAAAAGTTTCTTCTACTCTGCTGTATATTTTCCCGCTACAGAACTGTCCTTGCTGACTCACCTGTTTCTCACTTCTGCCCGTTTGTCATGCCTCAGTTTAGCTCCAGCCCTGATAGGATCTTCAGGTGTAATCAGCTGAATTACAAATGAGCAGGTCTGTGCTGTGCTGGTAGGAAATACTGGGAATTGGTGGTAATTGGTCAATGGCAGGAGATTCCTGGGGGTAACTGCAGATTTGAGTTAACCCTAAATCACCCACATCTGTTGCAGCTGGGCCCTGCCTGTGGCAAGAGCTAACTGTTTTGCCAAGCCAGGTGATTTCCCTTTGCTGCCTTCCAGAGTTGGATGCAAATTGGTTTCAGTAACTTGCTGTCCACCATTCCATAAGGCTCAGTCATCCTTCAGTTGTGGACATTTTCTAAATCCCTGGGGTGACAAATCTAAATGCCCTGGAGTATAGGTGCTATCTAATGCCTCTGCTGTTTAATGGGAAGCTCACTGAGATCTCATACCTCACTCATGATTTAAATGTGGTGCTTGTTCTTACTGTAACGTGAAAACTCGAAATGAATTTTCTAAATAAAATTAGGTTATAAGCAAAATACTCCTTTTAAAGACTTTTTTTTTTTCCTCCAAAAGGAACATGGTTCAGAATGATTGTATAAACAAATATAAGCAACAAACTTGTTTTAATTCCTTCTAGTTATTAACAACTGAAAATCTTGGCTCTCATATTTGCTCTGATTTCTTCAGTGCCACAAGTCCTCTTGTTCTCTGTAAGCTGTTATTAAAGCTGTGACAGGCACAGTGTTTCCCTGGCAGGTAAAGTGCTCTCTGTGTGTACGTACACAAGGGACTGGTCACAAACCTCTTGAGTTATCAGGGTAGACAGAACCAAATATGAGGATGAGTGAAACCTGCCTATCCACAGTCATGGGAATTGAAATCTTAATATCATAAAAAGAAGTATCTTTTGATCAGTTGTGGTCAGCACTTTTATTTCACAAGAGTCAATTAAGGACAAATAATGTATGGGAAAGTGATGAATTAGTCTTTATTCAGATCTTTGCCCTAAAATGTGACTGTCGTTATGTGGACCTGCTAAATTTTTTCTTCTCTGGACACTAGAAGCTAAAGAAACACCCAAAACTTACATGAGGTGTTGAACTCCATGGATTTAATTAGAGGTTCTCTTAAAAACATCTAAACCCTGTCTTGTTTGTGCCAGTGCAAGAGCATTTTTTTTTTTCTTTACACATTGTGAAGGTATCTTCAAACAGCTGTTTTTTCTGGAAATAGTGATGCTCTGGTGTGCAGACATTTCATTTGCAGAAAGTTGTGGTTCAGTGTGTTGGAGACAGTATGAGACAAACTGGCAGATGTGTGGGTGGTGACTATATGACAACTTCTCTCGCTACGGCCTGGTCAACAAGTATTAAAAGATGTGAAAACCTTAAATTTATTTCTTATAAGTAATCAGCTCCATTTCCCACTTAAATAACTTCATACTGCACAGCTGTAATTTCACTCAAGTATCCCGGATTGTCATGGAAGGGGCTTGGTATCAATGAACACCTTAGCTTTTTGCTTCCAAAATAAATACTGCAGTATTTATTTTCAGCTCTCTGTTCCTGGGCTATGTTTTCTCTAGGTAATGCATAAGAAGCAAAAATCCTGAAAATGATGAACATCTGTTCTAATGAACCCCAGGCCAGAGAAGTTTCCCACAGAGGTCAGATAGTCAGAGAACTTGGGCCCATCTGAACACGCAGCCAGTTGACACTGTGCTATACGTTGGTTTGCAAGGCAGGTCTAAGAGTCATCCAAGTTGTTTGTGTGGGTAACAACTGAGGACAAGCACTGTCTGAACTTCTGCATGGCAATGGCAGTTCTACTCTGAAAAACAGCAACTAGGGAGATCCACTTTTGGGTTTACAGTTTAGTCCCTCAAACCAGCTGAGAGAGGAGAAAGTGATGTGGACAGTTCTTTCCCCTCTTGCTAGTAAACAGTCCTGTGGCAGGGACACCACTCAACACTGTAAAATTCAGAAGCAAGAGAAACATAGACATAAACGAGGACCTGCCCCTGTGTGTGTGGTGTGTGGAGGAATGGGAAGGTGGTGGGGAATGCCAGCCTTGTGCTCAAGGTGTATTTCGAGAAAAGCAAAGCTGAAGCCTGGCCACATCTCTTCCACTGTGCCGCCCTCCTGAAGCGGTGCAAGCCAAAAGAGATAACCGGCCGCTGCCAGCAGGCGCCTCGGAGATCTGTTTGCTGTAATCTCACAGGCTGTCCAGACATCACCCGGGGTGAGTGTGGGACAGCCGGTGCCTCCCCACGTCCACAGACAGTGTGGAACAGCTCAGAGGTGCACGTCACAAGCTACAAGCTCAGTCTGTCCTATGCCGTCAGACTGTTCCAAGATATAAGCAAAGCTCTGCCAGTCCCATCTCCTCCAGATGACTTTTTCCATGCCCTCTCCTGGTCCCTGACACCTTCCTTTTCTGAGCAGCCTTCAGGGAAGAGATTTTTTTTTTAATCTATTTTGGATACCTTCAGCTCTTTAGGGCATGCCTTGCAGAGATATTTTTTTTACTTCACTCTTAATACATGCCAAATATTTTTCATTTGGAAATTAATTTCAGGGATGCAGAGTTAGCGCACATGAGGAGAAAACTCTCCTATAAATTTCCTCTATTTAATGGCTAATATTTTTGCTCAACTTGTGTTTGAAGAGACCTAAGTGTGTAGCTCTGGGTCCAGCTCTTCTATCTTGATGTGAAAGCTGGCAGTAACATCTGGGCTGAAGATCTGCAGACTCAGCTTTGCATAAAACTGACTGGCTGGAGGAACTGGAAGAGATTCCAGAGGATTGGACTTGAGACCCACAGGACAGGGGAAATGCAGAGAACAAGGGAATGCTTTAAGGACAAAACCAGAAAGGAAGGTGGTGAAAGAAGACAAAACCAGAGATGAAAATGCAGTAGGCCCACAAGGGCTTCATTTTCCCAAAGGGTGATGCTGAATGTGACAACAGGGTACTCGATACTTGACAGTACTCAAGTTTTTAATTATTCTGTGACGACTAGTCTCCCCTCTTGGAGCAACCTCACCTGCACAACTCTTATTTATGCCTTGGGTTACCTACTGAATCAGTTTGCTGCTCCTCAGTTCTTCCTTCCCTCCCCTGGGTGATGCAGCCAGTGGGGAGACTGGAGCCGTGTGGCTCTTGGGTAAAGCGGGAGGCCAGGATGGCCAGTTCCCAGCACTGTGACCCGTTCACGAGCTGTAATTCGTGTGACCTCTGAAAATCCCTTCAAACAGAGGGTCTGGAAGGGCACAGGCACCTGAGCCCTCCGGAGTGCCTCGCTCCCAAGGCTGGCCTGGCTCTGAAACCTCTGATCTGTAGTTTGTCTGTGGCAAACCCACTCACAGGGGGTCCTGCAGAACCCTCACCAGCTTGGGTTCCCCTGCCACAGGGGTTACCCATCAGGCTGGAGGAAGGAGGAGTCCCTCACACATCCTGAAGTTTGGCCTCACTGGCCCAGGTGTGCATTTCTCCAAAATTCTTCTCTTTCTCCTCTGGTTTTCCTTAGCAGCTGCTGTGTGGTGCGGGGTAGCCACAGGGTACAAGTAAGACATGTTACAGAGGCAGGGACTCTCCACAAGCTCCTGTCTTCATGCTGGGGAAACCCTTTTAGATTAAAAAGGATGAAAGAGCTGAATGGTGGCTCCCTTGTGCTAGGTTTCTCTGGCATGGTGCTTTTGAAATAGCTAGTTCCCTTTTTTACAGGGGAAACATTAAACGAAGGAGGCACCCAATCTGGAGAAAAGGTTATTTTTTCCCTTTTCTTACCAGATTAAGCCCAGTGCACAGGTTTCTTTCAACAAAAGGGTAGATAAAGCCAACAGACCTACAGAGACCTGCTGCACCCAGCAAAGAGGGGAGGGAAGCACCTCCTGGAGGTGAGTGCCATCTCCTGCTCCCCCTGCCCATGCTGCTGGTGCTCAGGGAACACAGGGTGGGCTTGGGGCAACACCGGGAGGACAGAGGAGGGATTCACCCCTGCCAGAGCTGACTTCTGAAGAGCAAGTTTGTGAAGGCACCAGGTGACAGCCTGCTCTGTTCATCAGCAGGCACAGCTCAGGAGAGCTTTGTCCTGACACAAATTACTTGGGCGAAAGAAGACGGGAGTAGACAAGACCCTCCCTGTCCTTTGGAAAAGAGAGTGCACAGCAGCTCACCATTTTTCATCTTTTAAGAGGCTCTTCAAAGGCTTCTCCACAAAGAACCCAAACTTTAAGATCTCATTTGCCTCCCTGGCAGCCCTGTAATATGAAGGGTTTGCTAGGCTGGCCCTGGATTAATAGATGTTAAGGCAAGGAACAGCCACAGACGTCTTTTGGAGCCCTGATCATTTGAAGGAGGCTCTGGGAACTTCCCTCACAGGGTGTGTTAACACACAATGGGAGCAGAAATTGGGGGCTGGAGCAGAGGAGGGACAGTAGAAAGCAGAAAAGAAGAGGTAGAGGGAGGGAAACACATTGAGGAGTTCCTCAGCCTGGCCAGCAAGAGCGGGCAAACCCTTGCCCCTCCGTGCAGCGCACAGCACCAGAAGCACTGAATCTCTCTTGCTGCTTTAAATGGCTGCAGCACTTTCAAAGTGGTTTTAATGCTAAGGAGTGAGCCCTCCCATAGCACAGATCATGTTGTGGAGGGTACCATAAGGGCTGGTGCCCTTGTTTTTGTCCCAGCACTTGTTTAAGCACCCCTCTGCACAGGTGTAAATACTGCAGGATAAATCCCCTCAGTTCAGGTGGATGTACTGGCATTTCACAAGAGAGGAAACTGAGGCACAAAGGGACTCTGACATGCCACGCAATGCAAAAAAGGGAAGCTCGTGCCAGGGTTACGCTGCAATTAATGTTGCTCTAATTCTTCTGCTGGCAGTCCACTGAACAACAGCCATGCTCTCTGTCAATTAGGCTAGATTATGGGATAATCCTTGCTAATTATATATTATTATACAGCAAGCAGTTATCTCCCTATAAAAGGGTGCTCCTATAATGGACAAGCACTGTTTCTCTAACACAGCCAGCCCCAATGGCGGGAAAAAAAAAAAAAAGCCAAAACCATTTCCACTGTGGCCAATATTTTGCCTAATCTGAAATTGGATAGATGGAGGAGGAGGGCTGCAACAGATAGAGCCAGTCAGAGAGGGGAAGCAGGGTCAAATCCACACCCCCTGTACCCGCTGCAGGGGCATGGCCATAAACTCAAAATCTGGCTGTAGATTCTCCCATACATCACGGAGCAAATCCCCCGTTCAGCCTCTGCACTCCAAAATCCCGAGGAGGAGGACCTTGCTGTCCCCAGGGCCACAACGGCTGGGAAACGGGCTATAAAATAATCTGGGAAAACAACTCCCGGTAAACGCCGTCATTACCTTTTTAATTGTCCATATGCTTGATCCATTGTATTTCCCCAGATGGCAGGGCTGCTTGACTACTGCCTCCTCATCTGTGCTGCCATGCCTGGGGTCTCGGGCAGGTACCTGGATCCCCAGGGTAGAGATGCCCACCCGAGCAGGCAGGGTTAGCTGCTTCCCTGCAGAGAGGAGCTTCGGTCTGCCGGGGAGGGGGGATTTGCTGGCAGCTGAGGCTGAAGGGGTTGGGGGTTCCCGTTTCCCTTATTGCTGGTCTGCACCACGGAACTTCAGTCCATGCAGGGACGCTGTAGGGAGACTGGATGGCCAAAGGCTGGCCGTGAGTCACTGATGGGGAAGGAAGGAATCCGCGAGTGAGGTCTGAAAGTCACACAGCTAAAGAAAATAACTTCAGGGCTTTCTACTGCTCCCCCATCCCAGTTTGTCAAAGCTCCTTTGGCATTTTACATACTTTGACCCAAGCAAAAGTGACCTGCCCAAACCACGGGCTCAGACAGAGCAGAAAAGTACCTGGAATCCTACTTGTGCTTTAGGTTTTATACGCTCACATGTAGGAACAAATTGATGCCTCCTTCAGATCTAGAAACAAATAACCCCCTTTCCAAGAGTCAAAACAAGTCCCAGTTTTGCAGCCCAGTGATGCCCTGCGAGCAGGGCTGGAGGTGCTTGCACCCACCTGGCAGGTTTCACCGGGACAGCTGACACGGTTTCTGTCCCCATCTGCCCTTTTTGCAGATGTTTTTGTCCCCATCACAGTGACAAGGGAAAGAGGGGGCAGTTCCCGAGGCTGCTGGTGGCCAGTGCTGCTTCTTAACACTGATGCCCCAGCCAGCTCCAAACCAGTTACACCTTCCTTCTCCCACTGGGTGCAGAGGATGGCCGGGCAGCCTTGGCAGCTGGGACCAGTAAGCGCCTTGCTGCACCCCGGTCTGCGGGAGCTCCTTGCCCTGACCAGTGCAGGACAGTGAGACCCGTGAGGGAGACACAAGGGAATGTGCTCCGTCCCAGACCGATCTCTGGTTAAGCAGATGGGGTTGTCTCTGGTGTGCAAGGCTGGGACCCAGTGAGGGCTGTCACCAACCATGGGCTCAGATACTGTAACATGGTGCTATGGTTTCCCCCTCCCTGTCCCCACAGGGGTGGGGAGCCAACACCTCCTTACACCTCTGGTACAGGATGAGGTAAGTCCTGGAAACCTTATCCTGACTGTAAAATGTGAGTGGGAGCAGCCAAGGGGAAAGATGGCATGACTCAACCCATGGCGTAGGATGTTTTTCCTTCTCCCCCAGGCATCAGGGGGTACCAAAATATCATGGCTCACCCCCTCCCTGTAACAGAGCTTGGGGAGGCATTTGCCAAGTTGTTTTTCCACCCACAAATACAAGGAGAGACTGCGGGGGTGGCTTCGTGCTGGGGTACAGGGCAGCACCACTTCCATGGGGCTGCTCAACTCACACCCGCTGTTTTCAGGGGGCTGGGGGCACTGGCTGGCCCCACAGCACGCTGCCTGCACGCTCACCAGCTCCTTGGGGCGCAGGAGAGCCCCTGGAGTGGAAGAGTGCAAAGACCACATTGCCACTGGCCCCAAGTGCTACTTGGGGCTGCTACTTCAGCCAGGAAAACAACTGCCTCTACTCCATGTATGAGATCTGGGTGGAGGCTGGGGGGTGGGTGTCTGAGAGGCTGGTGGTGAACATGGGGGACATCAGCGAGTCCATCACTGTGCTGGGAGGGAAGAGGAGGAGACAGCGTGTGAAGCTGGTGGTACCTAATGGTGAAGGCTGGGTGGAGGGGGGTTTCCTTCACCAACACAATCCCCTGTCCTCAGTCCATCACCAGTAGCTCGAGGGAAGTTGCTGAGCAGCCCCTTGCTGCCCGCAGTTGATGCTGACTCTGTGGTTTGCTTCCCCCAAACAGAGCAGCCAAAACAGGGCACGACGGCCAGGGCACCGACCTGTTGGGCTGTCAGTACCAGCTGGGCATCGCCATTTCCTACTTCCCGCTGTTGTTCCAGCTGCAGTACTGGGAACAGGGCAGCGAGTCCTGTGTCCATCCCAGCACAGAGCCCCTCGCAGTACAACACCTGCTGACCTGTCTGTGCCAAGGTCCCGGGGAGCCGTGATCAGCTTGGTGGCAAAGGTGGCTGGGGGCCTTCTGGCCTTAAACACCAAACTCCTGAGAAAACTACCCCGAGGAGCCACAAAGCTGCTGGTGCAAGCCCACAAACTGCCCTTGCTGTTGCCTCAGGGACAGGCACTGTTAAATTAACCATAAAGACCCATTTGAGGAGAAGATGCAGGTTGGAACTGGGAGAACGGATTAGGGGAGCTGAGCCAGCCTCATTCCTGACATTCCTGGGGAAAACAAGGTAAAAAGCCAAAGCAAGATCAGAGTGGGACTTCCCAGCTAGATGGACCCCAGCCATGCCCCGGTGTGGGACTCAGTCTGGCCAGGCAGCACGCTCGTGCCCACGCTGCTGGGGGTATCTGGAGCTGTCCCGCACACATCCTACACGGGGAGCAAGGAGCCTGCAAGCAAGTCTCTGCGGGCTGGTGCCATGATCAGCCACTCCCAGGGTCTTCACACCACCACTTCTGGAGCTGGGGGATTCTGGGGAGGATGGAGGACACCGGGCACACTCCCAGCCACAGGGTACATGTGCCAAGAAGGAAAAACCCTCAAACTATTCACCAAAGCAGCAGGGTTCATGCCCCAGCAAAGCTGCACACCACCAGCACTGCTCAGAGACATGGGGTTCAGCTCCAACACTGGCTTCCTGGGTGTCACGAGCATGCCAGTTCTCTATATCCTGATCCCATGCTGCGGGACTCAAGTATAAAACTTAAAAATATACAGAAATAACCCTCTGAGCAGAGGAACAGGATGAAAAGGAAGAAATCATTGGAGAAGAGCTACGATGTAAATACATTTCCTCCCCTCCTTCTCAGCATGAGCCTGACGTGGGGGAGCAGAGCAGCTACCACATCTAAGACGTGAGGTCAGACACAACCTACGTGCGGATGGTTTGCTGTGAGAGCGCGGAGGGGAACGGCTTCTGGAGCGAGCAGAGCACCCCGGCTAGCTTGAGCTCGGGGGCTGTCGATGCCCACAGCGAGAGCACACACCCCGCAGAGTGGGGCTGGCCCCAGTCCCAGATCCCCTTCCCACCCTGGGGTCACTGCAGAAAACTTCACCGAGTGTTACACAGAATAAACTACCGAAGGGCAGTCGCCTGGTAAGGGGCGAGCACCCATCTGGCGCTCAGGAAGCTTTTCTCTTCCTTTCTGCAGCCACCAAGGTAACACACCAGCCATTTTATTTTTCATTTTAAGAGAAAGACGTGAGTCAGCAGAACCTCAGTGTGCCCCTCGGGCCACATAAATCTCATGTGAGCAGAGCGTGTGACGCTTCTGCTTAAGAAAGCATCAGGACATCCTTCATTTTTTCCAAGCATGAAAACCTGGGGTCTATAAAGCATTCCTGCAAAGGAGAGGGACCTGAGCTGCCTGGGAAGGAGAAGCCCCTCAAACAGCCAGCTCCTACATGGTGACCCACAGGGCAGGGCTTGCAGCCCCTGACCTACAGCATCCACCTGCCTGCGGGAGCAGGGCCAGGCCTGGTGTGCTGAGCTGGGGTGAGAAACCAGGCACCTGCTTCTTAATTACAGCACCGCAGCCAGCGGGGCCCGTCCCTCTCCCCATACCCCCAGCCCCACGGCGTGTGTGCAGCCAGGCAACCGTGCTGGAGCAACCAGAGAACCCCGAGCTCTACCCCGCACTGCAGCGACAGTGCCAGTGTCCCTGGGGGGGCCCAGCATGGCCACTGAGGGGTCACCCAGCCCCGAGAGATCCCCAGAGCTCACCCAGCTGTGGTGCTGCTCAGCATCCCACCTCCCTCATGCCGAGTGGCTCCAGGGGCCTGGAGAGCAACACCACCAACCCAGACAAACTGACACCCTGCCCACGCCGCACTCCTCCCAGGCCTTATGGTACTCTGACTGCCCACCCACAACTTGGGGGATATCTGAGAGCCTCTGAGCAAGCCTGAGTTCAGCTGCAGCGCTGCTTTCAGCTGTGCTGTTTGTACCCTCAGCAGAGCCCTCCCACCCTGCGGCTCCTCATGGCCATCACAGCATGACTGGCTGCACCTGAATGGGCTTGCTCCAGCAGCAGGCAGGATTTTCCGAGGCTGCCAGACCTTTATGTTGTGGATCATGACACCATGTGCTTGCTGAGAGTCCCAGCGGGATGCCCTGTCCTCCCCAGTGCGCCAGGGCTGGCCCTGTGCCTCCGGGCAGGGGGAGCAGGGTCCTGCTCAGGCAGTGGTGCCCATTTTGGGGCACTTCAACCACCAGGGCACTTGCCCAGTGCAGCAGCAAAGAAGCACAAAAGGCCATCAGCACATCCCACCAGTGTGACAGCTTAGGAAAACCTTCCTGGTAAATAAAGACAGAGAGCGTGGCTGGGATTTTTAGGATATTTTAGCCCAGCTTCTCTCCGGTAGAAGCAGTTCCCCCAGGGAGGCAGAGGAATAAACCAGCCAATCTCCCAGGGGCTCTTCCAGTCCTGTTTTCTATGATCTACGATTTTCACCAACCGTTCTTCACCAGATTCACAAGCAGACATTTGCAGAGAGATAACGGCGGCTCTCCCTCCTGCACAACAGCAAAGCCTTTGTCTGCTCCGGAGAGACACGACTCCACATCCATAAGCAAAGCCAGGAAATGGGGTGGCTGCGCTCAGCCCAGCGCAACCTTATCATCAGGCTCTAAATAAATAATCAGATGAGTAATGGGAGCGCTGCCTACGCCCGTCCCTCTCCTCGCCTGCTCGGGAAGCACCGGGCAAATGCTAAGGAGGGAAACTGAGGCCCTGTGCCTGAGGACTGAGGGCATGGTGGAGGGAAGGAGCGTTGGTGATGGATTCCTGATATCTGTTTGGAACTCATCTGAGTGGCTTTTACATGAGAAAAAAGGGTTTGCTTCACACAATGACCCAGGCAGTCCCTCTTTTCAGATTTGCACAGTCCCCCTTCCCTGCTGGCCTCCATCCCCAGCCGGGGCAGTGCCCAGCCAGGGGATTCGGGACCCACTCACAGGGAACTTCTCCCCTCCCGGCTGTCCCTGTGTGACCTCCTGTGCTGCTGGGATCTTCACCCGCAGGGACGAGGACGGACCTATTTGCTGAAGGAGAACTGCTTTGTGTGCCGCTCTGGTCCATGCCATGGCCATGCTCAGCAACAGCACGCGTGGCAGCAGCGAAACCCTCCAGACCACAGACATGTCCCTTGATCCATTTCTGGGGAGGTTTGGTTGCATGGAGGAGATCAGATGAACACAGATTTCTTATTAAAATTAATTTGCAAGGCCAAAAAAGCTCCAGCCCCTGGTTACGCCTCTCCCTTCTCCTCCTGGCCCCTTTCTGCTGGCTCGCTCTGCAGCTCCCACTTGTTTTGCATCACATTGTTTATCGAGGTGACAAATAAGCGGGTGCCTCCCCAAGCCCCCCCCCATGCCAGGTGTCTCTGTCACACCTGGCTGTGGGCAGGGGCCAGCTGGGACATGGGAAAGGCAATTTAAGGCTTCAGAAGAACCTGGTGAACCTCAGCCCTGGAGGAAGAGTACAACCACTCCCTGTCACACTTGGGAGCTGGGCAAGCACAAAGCACCCTGTGCACAGAGCTGCATTGAGGGGGAAAGGTTGCCTGAGGCCAGGAGGGTGATGGCTACAAGGGTCTTTTGAACTGGGTGTGAGAGGGACAGGGATGGAGAAATGCCTCTGGTGCTGTCAGGTCTTTCTGTGCACTGGTGTGAGAGGCTGGGGCTGTCGTGCTCTGGGACCATGTCTCAGCCAGCAGCATCACGCTGCTGGGCTGCCTGCAGCCCCTGGGAAAGGGGTGCTGGCAGGGGGAACACCTCAACATGATGGGGGAAAGGAGCTGGGGGAGCTGTTGGGAGATTTGGGGAGCAGGGGGTGCAGAGAAAGCAGGATAAACCAGCTGGGAGCACGTTTGGGCTGGAAATCTGGAGGGATTATCACTGGCAGTGCAGGGCTGTGGGGAGGCCTTGCAAAGCCACAGGCACATCATGAGCCCTTTGGCCATTGCTGTTTTGGATGGAAAACAACCCTGCATTAACTAGGGAGAGATGGTGCTCCCAAGTCCTGGCCACCAAGCTGGAAGCACAGCCAGGGCCTCAAGCGTTATCTCTGTCCCCAAGATGTCCCCTTTGCCCCATGCTGCCAGCATGGCACTCACTGTGGTCCTCACTGGTGGTTTTGAGTCTCCAAAAGCAAAGAGGACTCACGGCCAACACTCGTGGTAACACCTCCAGGATTTTTGCAGCAGCAGCTTCCCAGGTGTCAAATTTGGAATGGAAAGGGAGAGCCCTGTATATCAGGGAAGAGGCAGTTTAACTGTGGACATCAGTGAGCAAAATCCTGTGGGGCAGCAAGAGACTGGATGCCAAAACCCAAAGGAGAAAATGGGAGGCTTACACATGCTGGAGTGTGACTGGAGGCCGAGGAAGATCCGTGCTGGGTGAGCACAGGAGGCTTTCCTCGCTCTAAGGGGAGTGACTGGCCCGAGTGGCTCACCGCCGGGGGCAGACACAGATGCAGCTGTGAACGCAACCAGGAACAAGCCAGGAAAGGGCTTTTGTAAACCTTCAAGTCACATTTAATTGCCCCAGCCATGAGCCCCTGGATAATGCTCTGCGAGGCCAGGGTGCTGGGGAGCCCCTTGGCTCAGGGGAGAGGATGTGCTCCCATGCTTCGGTCCGGAGCTGGAAAACCTCCCTGCAACAAGAGTGACAGCAGTCCAGTTTGTTGTAGGACTCTGGGACCAGATCCAAATCCTTATTTGAGTTCAACACCACCAGCTACCCAGAAAAGCCTTTTTCCTTGCAAATCACAGGGTGCCGGAGGCTCCCACTGGGCAAGGAGTTGCCCATCCTGTGGGCAAGGGGCTGGATGCTGCTGGGTGCTGTGGGCTCCCCACCAGGCATGAGCGGCTGCAGCGTTCACCTGTTTCAACAAAACCCGGACTGCCAGGAAGGTTAATTATATCTTTAAGTTTCTTCAGTTGTCCAATCTTGTAACTATGGTCTCAAGCTGACAGTTATATACCTAGCAATTAGCTGGCAGCAAGGCTTTGCAGGCAGCAGGGGGGTCTGGCCTTGTTTCCCATCGATGTACACAACACGCTCTCAAAACGTTGACTTAATGGAGCTTAACAGTGCTGGCAAATATTTCACACAGAAATCTTGCATTTGCTGACATGTTGCACCAACAGACACCGAATCAATGCAGGCTCTGATAATGAAGGCTCCTCGTTAGGAGGCATGCGCAGATTTGTGCTGCCTTTCCTCCCCAGACACCCTCTCAGACATCCGTGGGCTGGTGTAAACCAGGAGGAAAAGTCACTTGATCATCATCCTTTTCCTTTTACTGTTGCTTCCTCTGATGCCCTGATGTACAGACCCGTCCCAGCGGGTGTGGGAAGCAGAACATCAGCCAGGAAAGCCTTCCACCTACAGGACTGTCCTGCTGGCTCCTGCTAAAAATCCCACCAGTGGATTCAGCAGCAAGAGGGGTTTGCTGTGTGGTGTGATGCTTTACAGGAACAGCCAGTACCCTCCTTAGGATGGGTTCATGTTTGGAGATAGCGCTATCGAAAAAAGGCTCCTGGATTACCCACTGCCCTCAAATTCGATTTTTTTTGCCCTTGAATGACCACATTTGGACATTTTAAGATCTCTCCCTGCACCAGAGTGTGTTTTGCAGAGTTTGGGGTGGGTGGTCCCTCTGCCGGGCTCCCAGGGCTGTATTCGCCCTGCTTCTGCAGTGAGATTTCATGTGGACTTTGCCCTATGCTGGCTCTGGCCCATGCCAGGACAAACACAGGCTGCTCTGTGATAGCCACCCGCTGCGTGATGCTGAAAGGGAATTTTCTTCGCGTTGGTACAGCACAAGAGGCAGGTGGGGGTTATTTGGCCATCCAGCAGTCAGTAGCATCAGGGCTCTTGGGGAGGAACCCAAGTTTTCTGGAGGTGCAGATGACAACAGGACTCTTGTTTTCATGCTCTCAGCTGCTGAGCTCACCTTCTGCGAGGACCAAGGGTGGAGGTCTGGTGTTGCTGAGGCTGTCAGCAAAGCCAGACAGTCCCAGAGGAGCCAACCCCTCCTGCTGAGGCTGTCTTTAAAAGGTTACTGAAACCTCCATGCCCGGGGTTTCAGACTCTGGGAGCGATGCCAGTACGGAGCTCACAGTGGTGGATGCCTAGGCATGCTGGAAAGGAGCAAAACACAGAGAAGAGAGATTGTTCTCCTTCCCTGGTGACTGAAGTGCTAGTGACTGAAGTGCTCAGGTGAGGCCTGTGAACAACGGGTGGGTTAGATGACATGTGAAAATCAGATGAGGAGCTCCAGAAAACTCACTGAATGCATCTCATCACATCACCCACGGACATCCAAAACCCACCTGGAACCATCTACATGAGCTACATCTATACTTGCTGAGTGGAGATACCTCTAACACAGCTCTACGGTACCCCCCCTGAGCAGGGGTGGGAGCGTGGAAAATATTTGTTGGGAATATCATTGTGTTTGGGGATGGTTTGTACCTTCAAGAATTCAGCTAGAAATAACTGAGAGGATGATTTGCAGCCATTGGCAAACAATGTTACTTTCCCGAAAAGCAGCAGCACCAGAGGGAAAACAAATCGAAGCAGGTGCGGGAAGAGTTAGGAAGTGCAAGAATTGCATTCCTGAGCCAAATGGACAGATTGAGACAGAGGAACACAAATTGGGAAGGGAAATGGCTGCCTATTGCCCAGATTTTTCAGGCGCTGGGAGGTTGGGTTCAGGCTCTGTTTCAGGGCCTGGGAGCTGTGTCTCCATTTGAGCAGCTGTGTTAGTGCTCAGCCTGCGGTGAGGGTGGATTTTGGGGTGCATTTCCACTCTGGGCAGGGCTGGGATTGCAAGCCCTGGAGATCTGGGGAGCAGCACCCTACAGAAGCACCAGCCCGACCACCGCAATGACCATGAGGAGCCCGGCCAGGATGCAGATGCTGATGAAGACGATGTCGCTGGTGTCCTGGCTCTTGATTTCGTGGGTGACGGTTGCTCCCCCCTCCCGCTGCTGGGCATCCACCAGGTTTTCTGCCTGGCTGAGCCTGGATGGGTTGGGGCCTGCAAGGAGGGTCACTGAGGCTTCCTTCCTCTTGGGCTCACACTGCACCTCGTACTGGTGGATGTCCTCCTGGTCACCCGCTGAAAAATCAATGTAGAGGGTGCTGACGATAATAGACGTGTTGTTGCGTTTCTGCAAGACAAGGGTTGTAGCTCATCAGGGCTTTGTGCAGCTTGTTTTCATAGAGGTTTGGAGGGCAGTTGCCCATGGATCAGACCAGCATCTACTGGTAAGACAGGACAGGGACTGGGAACTTCTCTCTGCAGCTGGTACAACCATTGCGGGGCTGACTATCTACTCAGCTTGCTTTGAAGGAAGTTTTGCCGACTGCTTACCTGGGTTTCAGTGCCACAGGTGTCAAACCTGCTGTGTATTTTAAAGTTCCCACCAACCACCTGGGCTGCACAGAAGGGGGTCCCCAAATAAATCCTTTTCCTCTCCAGCTGGGCCAGGGACCGCACAGGGATCTGGATGTGGAAGTCTGTCCGGGTGCAGCTGACGTTCATGGGCACAACTGTTGGGACAGTAAACAAGGTACACATGAAGGATGGCTGGGAGGGGATTTCCCCAGGCTGCAGCGACTGCAGTAGCTCAGTGCAGAGCCACAGCCATTTTCAAAGCTCGCTGCCCCCATCACACACGAAGCAGGCAACCAGTGGTGCCAGGAGTAGCAGAGACATCGGCATCATGAGTTTGCCATGCATCTCGCAGTAGCTGGTGTTGCTGTAGGACTCATGGGATGAGTTTTCAGGAAAAAAGGAGCTACACCTGAACTGCAGAAAGCAGTATCAGTATTTTAGCTCTGTCCTGTGACAAAGTCAGGCACAGTTGGCTCCCAGGCATTGCCCTGCTTTCTGCCCCAGGGAGAGACCCCACCAACAACCCTCTTGAGCTTCCTCCTCCTTCCCAGCTCCCTGAGAGACACTCAAGTGCCATTATAGGCCACACCATCAGGTCACCACTGCCATAAGCAAGGAGGGATTTACCCTGTGAGAGCAGCCACTCACCATCATTGCAAAGCCAGTGAAACATTGGAGTTGCTGCCCAGGATTAGACCATGAGAGCTTTGCTGATGGCTTGCCACGGGCACAGAGCTGCCCTGCATGCTACAACACCCCTGCAAGAGACTCTTACAGCGACAAAATGGAGGAGATGCATCTCAGGGGGACCCCACCCCTGCCCACCCTGGAGTGATGGTCCCCAAGGAAGGGTGAGCTGGGTCCCCGGCCCTGGGGCAGCCTCCTAGGGATGGCCCAGCCCAGGTCCTGTCGCAAGCATCATCAGCCCTCCACCGCCCCCAGAACGTTATTTTTGATGGGGAGCTGGTGAAGAGTGTGTGGAGGGAGCTGCGGTTGAACTGCCCATGATGTCAAGATGAAGAGCAAGGAAACCCAGCCCCTCTCCATCACTCTGCCTCGGACACCATATTTGGCCCCTCTGAATGCAGAAAGCATTCTCACAGGGAAAGAAGCAGGGAGGAAAAATGCCCCCCTCTTTAAAGTTAATCCTGACTCAGCTTGAACCAGCCACTTGGGCAGTATGAATTATTGAATTATTCCAGCTTCCTCTGAATCTTGGCCTTATGAAACTGGTAAGATGCAATAAAATCAATACAAAAAAATAGTGTCCCTTTTCTCCACTTAGTGCATTATAAAATCATTAGAAGATTTACCAAATAACTAAAGTGCATTAGATCAAGAGGAGGAGGAGGAGAAAATGGATCCTATCTCCCGGCGTGAATGCTTTCACTCAAACGGCCATAAATCATACATGCCCAGCCCAAGTCATGCCCTTTCGTGGGCCTGGAAGGAAAATATCTGCATGGCTGAAGGGCCATAGATGTGGACACAAAAAGAAAATATTTGCATGTCTGAAGAGCTGTGGATGTGGACGTGGAGGCTGAGGTGCCCCTTTGCCACCGAGGGCTCCTGAGGAAGCCAGCGGTGGGGAGAGGCCGGTGCCCCCGCGGAGGGCAGCTGCTCTCCTGGCAGGGTGCTGGCGGTTGGATGTGCCATGCAGGCTGCTAATTGCAAGCAGATGCCCAAATCGCTGGGCAAACAGAGCAGGCAGCCTTAGCTTTATGGAGGGAGGCTTGGTTTTATGTCCAAGCTTTTGTCCACTGCCAACGTGCATCCAGCAGTGTGTACTGGGGGATGCGGGAGCTTCAGGCAGCTGGGAGAAGCCACGTCCTCCATGGTGGGGCTTTCCCCTGCTGTTCAAGCTAGCATCCCATCTATCTGCCTGCAAGCTCCTCCAAAGGGAATGGGGTTTCTCCACGACCAGACACAGCGAGGCCAAGATTTCTCTCCCTGCACATCACTGTAAAACAGTAAGAAATAAACAAGACAAGGACAGGGACAGACCTGCTGTACACACTAAGGTCCTACTAGATGTCTGGTACAATCTCACTCAGGCTGCAGAGGCTGAGGACAAAACCTCATCCCATCTCTTACCCTTAGAGCCACATACCCCCACGTTGCTTCTGCTACACTGGAAATGAAGAATGGTTTTGCTGCCGAGGGGATAAAAGCTTGTAAACCCAGGGCCAGCCACCCCCAGCTCCTGTGCTGCTCATCCAGCAGCTCTGCTCTGGCTCCTGCCCACCAATGAGGCTGCCCCTGACTGAATCATCCCTGACACACAGGTCAGCTCAGATGTAATTATCTTGAAATACAACAAATGCCATAAATTTGCTGGCTTTTGAGGTGCAGAGGTTGGCAAATACACGAGGAAGGTTACATGCCGCTCCTCCCACCAGCTGCGGATGCACCAGCTGGGATGTGGGCACACTGGCAGCAGAGAGGTCCCGGGCAGGGCTGGCTGGGAGGATTTGGGAACACCATGCCCCGGAGTCCTGCCCCTCCAGTGCTGCTGCCAGAGGAGGAGGGGACATGTTTTATGTCTGCCTGCTCAGCCATGTGCCAGCAGGGATGGAGAAGAGAACAGTGTCGTGATGCTTGAGCTGGTCACCTACCCTGGGGCTTTGGTCCCATAAAAACCACCTGGGTTTTCTCTCCTTCATGCCCTGAGAGAGGAGCAGGAGCATCGAAGTGGCAGAGATGACAGGAAGAGAAGCTGGAAAGCATCTCCTGAATACTAAGCATGATGTGGAGCATGTGCATCTCGCACTCTGCGAGAGCTGGAACTCACCCACCACACCTTCTTCACCTCATCCCTAAAGAGCCACGTGCTCTGCTCCCTCAGGTGAGTATCTTCACTTCATGGTTCTTCTGGAAATTACATGGTCTTGGGCATATCCCAATGGAAATAAAGCACTGCAGAGCACCCAAGTGAGACCTTACCTCCCACGTAGGCGATGGAGAAGCCCCTCTTGGCCGTGTTGCGGTCGGTGTGGAGGACCAGCAGCAGCTGGTTGCTGCGGGAGGTGACAGGTGCCAGGCTCTCCCACCCACACCAGCGCCCCAGAAGGGACCCGTCCTCAGTGCCACCATCGAAGGCAGCCAGGTGGTCATAGTCACAGCCACCCGTCAGGCTGCTCCGGCCCTCCAGCTCCATGTCCAGGAAGAAGACCTTGACCCGGTAGCCCGGGGGCAGCTGGATGCTCCACTGGCACTTGAGGTTGTTGGGGTAGAAGTTGGGGTACCGAGGGCTAGAGAAATTCCCTTTGACGGTGGTGAAAACCTCCTGGCACTCACCTGCTTAGGGAAAAAGGGGAAAGGAAATAATGAAAGCCAACCTGAAGGCCCCTGGGCGGGGATAAGCTGGCGGATGAGCAATCCCTTATTTTATTGCTAAAGCATGCACTGCCCTCCACCTCACTGCTCCCCAGACTTGCATCTGGTTGATGGACACCCATCAGTTTTGGAGAATACCCCAAGGTGGCCAAAGTCCTACAAGGGCAGAGAGGGAAAACCTGTATCCCCAGGGAATGTCATGAGCAAGGGGGAAGGACAGCTCTTGCTCAAGAGAAAGACAACCCAGGGCCTGGGAGAGCCACAACAACGCCATTTGCTTTGTGTGGTGGTTTACACCTCACACCATGACCTCATGAGCTCTCCCCAAAGGGCTCCTCTCCTCTATCATCCCCTCTTGCTGCTGTGGGAGGGACAGCATCGCCATCACCACCTTGGGGACCCATCCCCACATCCTTCCCACTGCCCCACCACCCCGAGAACCCCGCACCCGAGTAGAAATGGGCCTTGAAGCCCCTGCCACCGATGTTGAAGTCTGACTTGAAGAGGAGGAGGAGGTGCGGGGTGGAGGAGACGGTGCGGGGCGGGCGGGTGTTGCCACAGTAGCGTCCCAGGCGGGGGGCGGCAGTGGTGGGGCCATCGAACAGGGCCACATAGTCAAAGCCACAGCCCTGGCCCCCCTCCACCTGGAAGTCAGCAAACACCAGGGTGAGGAGGCCGCTGCCACCGTCCCCCCCGATGTTCCAGCGGCACTCGGCGTCGTTGGGGTAGGTCTCAGGGTAGCGGGGGCTGGTGATCTCCCCGGACAGCCCAGTCAGCTGCCCGCCACAGGCATCTGTGAGGAGGCACGGATGGTGAGGATGGTGGGAGAGGATGGACAGACGATTCTCCGCCACCACCATCCCTCCTCACTACCTTTCCGGTAGGCGGCGGCGAAGCCACGCTTGGCCACGTGGCGGTCGGAGCGGAAGACGACGGCCATGACGTGCCAGGCGGAGGAGAAGGGTGGTGGGGGGCTGTGGCCGCAGAAGGTGCCCAGGAGGTTGCCCCGGTCTCGAGCAGCCCCGTTGTAGACCTGGAGGTAGTCGTAGGCGCAGGCAGCATGGTACTCCAGCTCGAAGTGGCTGAAGGAGAGCAGGACGGAGGAGCCCTCGGCCACCACGATCAGCCACGTGCACTCTGTCTCGTAGGGGTACAGCCCTGGGAAGTTGGGGCTGGAGAAATTGCCAGAGGGTGCTGAGAGCACCCCCCCGCATTTGATGCCTGGGGGACACAGAGGTGGATGTGATGTCCCCTTTCCATGGGAAAGCCTAAAAGAACGGAGACGGGGTGCACAGCACCGGCTCCATCCCACCACCAGCACTACCGAAGCACCAGCACCCTGCAGATCTCAGCTGGGCTCAGCCCCCGCTTCTCCCTGGACACGAGTACCCCCATCAGCTTTCATCCCTCCACTGCCCCCTTCTCCCCCTGCCACTCCTGTGCTGCCCCATGGTGTGGCTGCAGCAGGGCTCAGCCGTGCCCATGAGCTTGTCCTGCCAGCGACAGCGTGATGTCCCCATCGATTTATTGCTGGGAAAAAGAAAGTAGGGAGTAAGTTTTAAAGGCTCACTGGTTCCAGCCTCACCAGTGCCCTGGCTGCCCAGCCCCTCAGCTTTGTGCCACCCACTGATGATGCTCCCCCCATATAATGGTAGTATCGGTGAATTCAAGCTGGAAGAAATAGGGGTGAAGGGCTTGATGCGCTTAACAATGAGTTATGCATGTAGGGATCGATTTTCTAATGAAATCTTCATACTGAGACATGGTTATTATAAAATAAGGCGGAATGGGGGGGGAGGCAGGGGGGCGGCTGCCACCTGCCCCTGGGTCTGATTAGGGTTGGGGTGAAGAAGCTGATATAGTGGGCACATACATCATGTCTGGGAGGGACACAGACCCTGTGCAGACCCCGGGAGACCTGTGCGGGTTCCCAAGCAAGGTTGGGCACTTGCTGCCATCAATCTCGGCCAAGTATATTGCAAATCAATAGCCAGCCAGCGCGCGTTGCTTTTCATCACGCTTGCCGGTGCCGTGACCTCCCAGCGAGGGGGGGGTCCTGCGGATGTGTGTGATGCAGCACCACAGGAAAAAAATGGGTAAGAGGGGGGTGTGCATGTGTGGGTGTGTCGGCACAAGCAGCAAAACTGGCCAGATCTAAAACCGCCTTGCTAATTACTAGGGATAGATAATAAAGTAATATGGGGCTGGTACTAAAGGAATAATGTAATTGGAATTAAATATCCAAGAGGGGAGCATGTGGGTGGGGTGAATAGCCATGGGGCAGGCAGATTGATGGATGAAGGGATGGGTGCCTTGGGGTGCTCTGGGAAGCCCAGGTGGGTGCAGGCGGGGGGGTGAGCAGGCAGTGCTGGGCAGCGGGGCAGCTGCTTGCCCCTCAGGAGCACCCCCACCGGGGCAAAGATGGGGTTTGGTTTCTGACACAGCCCTTTTGTGAGAAAGGCCCTGCTGTTTTGGGGGAGGGGTACTGCTCATTAGCCAAGTTACTGGCCTGATCTGGCCCTCCCTAGCCCCCTGGATTACTGTGTTGTCTGCTAACCCTGCCCCGAGTCCTGGGGGGTGTTTTATCCAGGTAAGGTGAGGGGTTTATTACACGCACAGCAGCATACATATGCATACATACATTCACATATATATGTACAAATATGTATGTATGTATATATATATATATATATTTATATAGGCATGTGCAACTCCAGAAGTTAACAAACCCTTCAGCAAAGAACCTGTACACCACAACAGGACAACCCCTACCTGCAATCTTCAGGGAAATAAGTGTGAGACAGAAAATCAAGTGCGGAGCAGTGTCCCGCACTTCCTGCTGCGCTCAGCGACTGCAGATCCCAGCTCCTTTCCCCAGGCCAAGCTGGGCAGCCCCTGGCCTGAGCAAACCCCTCTCCCTGCACAGGCTGAGAGCTGGGACCTGCTTGCACCCCAGAGCCACTGCAGCACCCTCAAACAGCCCTCTCCTCCCCGGGGTCCCCATTGAGAGATGGGACCAGGCTCTTACCTCTGCTGGGAGCATCCCCAAGAGCCCCGCACAGCACGGCCAGCACTGCCAGGCAGCCCAACCCCATGCACCCCATCCTCCGGCAGGCAAATCTCCCCTCACCGGCACCCGAGCATCCTTTTGGATCTGTCTATCTGTGAGGAAAAAAAATAAATAAAGACAGAAATAAATAAAAAGCGTGAGGACGGTAGAATTAATGGCAGAATGAATAATTCATTGCTTGTTTGAATTAAGAGCAGCACGGTAACTTGATCTATTCCTCCCTTCCTTCACTCAGTTTTAATGATCTGGATCAAATGTCCCAAGGATTTACACTATACCAGATACCTTGTCAATACACTATATTTAGAAGAGATATTAATGTTTCAGATATGGTGTATAACGGCAGTAAGTCTGGGCTGACAATACGCCCTTAAGGGGCTATGAAAATAATTTAGTTCGCCAAGCAAGCCAGTGAACCAAAATGGGAATTTCAGACTTACCACGGAAAAGCACCTCAGGAATTAACGTGATTTGTACTGCGGCACCCACTGCACAAAGCCAGCCAGTGGTAAAAGCTAGAGAAAGAGGGAACAGGATTTAAATGCAGCCACATCTCCAGGTCGGCTGCCAGGTCAGCATCCCTGCAGCGAGTGCCCAGGCTCTGCGGGATGCTCAGCCTGGGAAAGCGGCAGTCGCAAGCACTAAAGATAGCAAATCCCACCTCCCCCAAGGAAGAGTAGAGATGAATTGTGACTCACGGGCAAAAACCATTGATTATTATAGAACCTGCTAAGGCCTTGGAGAATTACCATCTTCTTCCATGCCAGCTCTCACTCCTTCTCACCCAGGCTCTTGGATGCACTCGGCTGAAGGTAATCAAGGCTTTGCGTTCGGTGGGAAAGATGTGCTCCTCGTGCTGTGCCACATTAGCTGGAGAAAGCCCAAACCCAGCAGCGGTTCAGTTCCTTCCCTCCCGCCCAGGAGAGAACAGACTTTCCTGCTGCCATAGCCCACACCCAGATGAATGCCAGGAAACAATAACCCACACAGGCTTCCCAGCGTGAGGGACCTGTGCTAAAAAAGTCACCTTCAAAGCAGTGGGGAAAGAAGCAGTGAGTATCTCTAAATCTTGGGTGGAGAGACAAGTTGCATTTATTAATTAAGCAACGAGGATCGATGCCTGAGACATTTCCTGTGGATTAATGATGGGCTGGGAGGAGCTGATGGCCTGAGGTGCAGCTAAGGACCATTAACGCCAACTGGTCATGAATCCCCAGGAAATGCTCCATGCCAAGGTTGTTAAGTGCCTGCATATATTTATGGGTAATAATAACAACAATAATATTTGTATAGGCTCTCTCCCCACTGCCTGGCCTCGCTGGAGCCAGGCTGAGGGCTGGTGGGAGCATCAGGGCATCCCAGGCAGGAGCCCTCTGTCCTGAGCCCAGCGGAGGTGGGGGACATTGGGGTGTCTGTCCTGGGGCATTGGGCAGTGCGTCACCCCATGGGCACCAGGACTAAGTGCATGTTCAGAGGAGTTGATGCAAGGCAGCTCTCCCTGTCCCAGGCTGCAGCACAAAGCTCCAGCTTGGGGAGATGGCTGCTGTGCTGGCACATCTCCTGCCGACCTCTCAGAGATACTGCAGAGCCTCATTAGCTGCTTTGCCAGTGGGTTCAGAGAGGAAGGCTGTCCCTGTGCCTTGTCCAACACACATGGGGCCAGCACCCACAGCAAAGAGGCAGGAGAGGTCTGGCACCATGGGTGATGGACAACGTGCTCCCCAGCTTCTCCATCGTTGAATGACAGAGTCACACATTCACCCTCGCCACATCCATCTCCGGCAACACCCGCTGTCCTCCAGCCCTTCCACCGACGGCCTCAGCGCCATGGCACCTCTCAGCACGGAGACAGTGTCTGGGACACCAGTAGCTATGTGGCCACTCTTCTCCATCCCTCCAGCTGCGCTCTACATCAGCGACATCCCCAGGAGACCAGGGGGAGAGGCCAGGGCTGTGCAGCACAGCAGCTGTGCCCCCCTCCTGGGAGAGGGCATATATCACCCCCTCCTGACCCGGGGGTGGCCGTTCCCTGGCTGGGCCTGAGCCCAGGTGACACAAGCAGAGAGGGAGGGTGGAGGGAGGCAGGGGGAGGATGAGATGTGGCAGGGAGCAGGCAAAGGAGCCAGGCAGGTCCTTCTGCATAAGGTCTGGTTGGAGGTGCTCTGGCTAAACCCAGGGTGCTCTGGCTCCGGCCAAAGACACAGTGGGTGATTTTGAGGTGTGGTCTATCAGGGCTGCCTCTATTCCCCTTTGGGAAAATTTATAAATCATGAGTCAAAAAGGCATTTGATTCATTTAAATAGAAAGGATGTGATCAGGACTGAGACTTCAGAGGAGATCAAAGGTTTAAATACAGTCCCCAGGAGAAACAGGAATTATTTAGGCAGGAAATAATGAGATGAAATGGAGAAGGTATTTAAGCTGCACATGAGGAAGAAGAAAGGAAGCAAAGCAAAGCGCACAGCGCTGCACAGGCAGTGGAGTCTTCCTGGAGGGCAGCCAGAGCACCAAAGCATCCTGCCTGCACCCCCCTGCCCCAGCAGGAGAGGGATCCTGCCAGCACCCCCCTGCCCTGTCCTGGCAGCAGCCACCCACCATGCAGGGAGCTCACGCACCTCCAGCTCCACAGATCCCCCGATAATCGACAGCATCGCCACCATTTCCCTATGAAACTGCCACCACGGGGTAGTTTCTGGACTTCCAAAGGGAAGGAAACCACTCATCTTCCCTTGGTAGGGAAAATCCTGCCCGAGAGCCTCTCCATCTAACGTCCCTGCCTTTGCAGATGCGCCACGCATGCCTCTGAAAGAAGCTGTCCCCACGGGGGACACGGCTGAGAAGAGGGGACTTGTGTCAAAGCCAGCCTGAGAAATGACAAAAGGCGGGAGGGGGAAAGGAGAGAAGGCCAGAAAATAGAAAAGTGCCTACGGGCGGTTTAAAGGCCCCTTCGAGTTCATACTTCCAAGGGCACTCTCTCCCCCACAGAGAATGTCTGGCAAAGACCCCCGTCCCCTCCGGCGCGGCGAGCTGGGCTGCCGGCTCGGCATGCATCACCTCCTCCCGCTCTCCTGCAGCCTGCCTTTGCAGGATTGCAACCCGCAGCATTCACAGCCTGCTCCGTCTCTCACCACCCTCCCTTTTAGCCACGAACAAAGACGGAGGCTTCGCGGCAGAACGGCCGGACCAGCTGGGTAGGGTTTAACCACGGTGGCCCATATGTGCTGAAATACCCAGACATATTGGGGTTGCGTTTAAAGGAACACTCCCAGCTTTTGTTGTAGAAAGTCCTCGCTTTTCCGAAGCGAGCGTGAAGTTTTACTTCAGGCCTTTGCAAAAAGGCTGGGTGGATTTTTAGCAAAATCTTAGGCAGAATATTCAGAGCAAGAGGTATATAAGTAAGGATTTAAAGCAAGAGTATATAAGTAAGGTTTTCAGAGTATGTCATATTTGAGGAAAATATTTTCCCCATGTTCCCAGCTAAGGCCAAAGTAAGAAGAGAAACTGGAGAAAGCAATTCCTTATTTTATCAGCCCCATGCTGTGCAGAACCACCTCCGCTACACAGGGGCTAACAGCAGCTGAAGCACAGTTTGGATGGGAGTCAAGAACTTGCCTTGGACCTATGATGGACAACTTCCCTGGATTTCCCTGTGTTAAAATCCAGAACCCTATTTTGGGTTACGAAGACGGCTTTCTTGTCAACTCTTGCTCTGAGGAAATGAACATAAAAGCTGCAGCTCCATGGGATTAATTCCAGGCATTTGGTAACTGGAGACAACCCTCACTGATGCGAGGGGAACCTACGCTTCCTCCCAACGCGTGAATCAGAGCCATCGTTTTAGCTGCTGGTTTTGAGTAACTCTTAAACTACCTCTCCTTTATGTAAGGTGATTGCAGGTAAAAAATAAGGCATGAATGATAATGCAACATCATGTCTGGGAAACCCTGACACAGGATGAACTGGGAATGAACAGAAAAGCACAAAGGTGTGCAGAAAGTCCGTGTTACAAGGTGTACTTAGTAAACGGAGTGGTCTAAGAGGGCAGAAGAGTGGACAGCAGATACCCCGGAGGAAAGGCAGCAGTGCCTTGGGCTGGAAGAAGCAGAAGGTGCCAGGGCAGCCACGGGGTGTTCATGCCCCAAGGCAGGCCTTCAGCTCTGGCCCCCGCCCCACGGCAGAGCGCCCCAGCAAAGCCTTGAGAAGCTTTCACTCCTCAGGTGGTGTTCTCATATGCTTAGGGCACCTGTGAGAGTTCTGTGACAAAAAGAACCAGCTGTTTATTTGAAAAGAGGTTCAATTTAATGAACCAGGGCTATTCTACAACACTTAGGGGACACAGGAAGCAACCAACCATCCTCCCTGACAGATAGCAGCTACAATGCGGATGCTTTCTCCCACAGTTTTAAAACATGCTGTTTCTTTCCCCAGGCAGCCTTATGTGTGTTAAGGATCAGCGTAGACAAGGCAGGCTGTGCCAGGGCAGGAGGGCAGCCTGCCTCACTCCTCACTGGGCATCAGTATACTTCCATTCCCAGGTATAGTTCTTCCATATATGGTTGAAAAGGCTCTTTTCAGGGAAGATCAGTGCCTCCTTCTCTATATTAGTCTATAATGGGGCAACCGAGGTGCACAGAGGTTAAAGTGACTTGCCTGGCACTGCCCAGCAAGATAATGACACAACCAAAATGAACCCCACGGACTCCAGAGGGCCGGGCCAGTGCTCTGCTGTTCCCTTGGCCAGGCAGTCTTCTCCTCGAAGATTAAATTTCTCCTCTGGATATCTAACAGGGCAAATATCACTGCAGACTAACATGGATCACAAAGCAAGACAATAGTCTTTGTGTTATAGCAGAGCTATGTACTTGGATGCTTTTTAGTACCCTTAGGATCTCTTTAAGATTGCATGTACAGACTTCCATTAACATCACCACGCTGTTCCCCAAGGTGTAGGTGATCGTAGCAGCCACTCTGGAGTGAGACCTGATCCTTAAAACACTCTCAAGAGGGAGAACCGTACTGGAGACAAATATTTGATCCAAAGGGTATGACAGTATATGCACAAGGAACTCAGTCTATGGAGACGACTGAATTTGAGCAATGTCTGCAGAGAAACAAGGACATCCAAGACTCGGCCTAAGATTTCTTAGATCAGGAATATTCTGCTAAAAGACAAAACAGGAATTTTCTTCGATTCCTGCAGCTTTCAAATATCTACTCATATCTTCACTGAATGCAGAAGAGCCACATATTAATACAAATGGCTTTCTTCGACAGGAATTTATTATCATCTTCAGCAAATCTTCACTGAGACGACCAGTATAAGTGTTTTCCTGATAGCTCCAAGGAAGTTTCTCCAGTGATGTTTCCTGAAAAGATAAAAGGTTTGCAGTGTGCCATGTTAAAAAAAGATGATTGCTTAGAGCCAAATCTCCCTCTTCCCCTCAGAGTACTGCACAGGACGTTTGTCACCCTTGTAACTCCATCTGTGTAGAACTGATCCATCCTAAGAGCTATGTTCCTCTTCCAAAGACCAGATAAAGTCATTCCCTGTCACAAGACCTAGCCACTCACTCAGAGCAGACTGAACAAAACCAGAGTGCGAACTCTTGCCAAGAAACACTGCAGAACCTTCTCCTTTGAGAACCACTTCCCACCATGCTACTTCTACTCCCAAGTCCTAAATCTTAAATCTATTCCTCTCTATTGCCTCTTCCATTCCCAAGTCTCTTTCAGTCCCATCTCCCTCGACCAAAACTGAAGGAATTCAGCCCTGCTCCAAACACAGCGCTGATCCCACGAGAAACGTTAGATCCCACCGTGTTAGATCCAGCAGGGACTCCCCTACTGCTATTAATTAGAAGCAGAAGATGCTCAGATGTGGTGGTGACAGGCAGCAGAGTGAAATGCTGAGACAGACAGAAATATAATCCCCTAAAAGGGACGATTCAGTCAGTGCTGGACTACAACAAACCTGCCAAGAGAAGAGAAGGAAGGCAGAGATGTACACAAGGGGCAGGCAGTGTTGACAGGGGTCAGGTGGGTTTCTTGCCCTTCACTGATTGAATTTCAAGACCTCCTCCTCATGCTCTTGAGGCAGCACTGTCCTGAAAAGGGTACTTAAGCTATGTCACCAGAGACAATTACTGGCTACTCTCCTATAAAGTAGCTGAGGGGGTGCCTAAATCACAAGTACTTTTCTCTATACCCAATCTCAACTTGTCGAGGCCATATGTGGAACATAATGTATGAGGCAGATCCACCATGAGAGATAGAAAAAAATGATTCATCTGAGAAACTAAAAATGCAATGGGATTCATTCCCTTAGCATAAATAATTCTTTCTGTATCCTCCCTGCAATGAATCCTCATTTCTGAGGGAAATAATTTTCAACTACCAAATCAGTGCAGAACACAGGCAACTTTGGGACCAAATGGAAATGAAAAAGACTGCTCAAAACGTAAGACCACTGAGAGGTATGCCCTCATCCCATGGATGTGGCAGAAAAAGTAATTTTACAGAGGGGGAAACAACTTTAAGAAGTTTAAAAATGGGTCAGCTGGGAAAGATAATTGCTGGGAAGTTGGTGCTAACACACTAGAAGAAAGGAGCTCTAGCCATGAGCAATGAATGGAAGATAAGGACAGATTAAGGCACTGGCATCAGGAAAGAAGAAATAGTTTATTTGCTGTGGGTCTCCCAGAGTCCAGTTTTCTTTGCACAGATGTTTAAGCGCAACAACCATCTGAAGTGGGGGGGAAATAATCAACAATGACTATGAACCAGTGGGTCCATCCCAATAGAACCAAGAAGGTAAAGAGGAACAAGCAGTGACACAGTTGCTTCCCTGAAATTCTCCAGACTGTTAGCAGTATGAGAATATGTAGCAGATTTAAGAAGAGCAGCTACTGGATCACAAAATACTCTCTATGATTAGGAAAGAATTAAGATCACATTGACAGAAAAAACAGGAGGCTCATTCAGCACCCAGAACCTTCACACAAGCACGTTTCATATCCATTTATTTACCTGGCTTAGGACATAAAATATTCTGATGTTCCAGTATCGAGCCAAATCCTGGAGAAGAGGTTTCAGGTAAATTTTGTCAAATGTACGGAAGCAGCCAACAAGAGTTACAAAGGTTTCATCCTCTTCATCATCTGTTATGGACTGGAGGATGGGAAGCATTGGTGCGAGGCCGGTACCAGATGCCAGCATGAGGAGTTCTCCGTGCTAGCCAACAAAACAGAGAATTTTGAATGAGCTGAGGTGACTGGAAACGGATGTACTCATTGTCAGTTCCTGCTTGCTGCCACACTGGTAAAGGGCCCCGAGAGAGAGAGAGAGAGAGAGAGAGAGAGAACATATCAGAATGTCATGAAGTAAATTCAAATCTCAGAACGTATTTTTCTGAGAAGAATATATATATAAAGATATATAAAAACTTTCAGGGTTTATATATCAAATGTAACAAAACTGTATTTTACTCAAATATAAATATTTGTCTTAACTTTAGTCTTGATTGCAGTTAATTTATATTTCAGTTCCAATTCTGCAGTACACTTTGCTGACCCACTGTGTGTTGTTTTCCCACTGGAAATGCTCCCTGTGTTTATCCTGAATGCTGCAAATCCTGAATGTTCTCTGGAGGAAATGGTTTATTCTCCATCCTGATCCACATATCTTCCTGGTGCATGATCTAGCTTTTCTCAAAGAGCTCCCAGCAGCACACAGTGCTTCCCACCTTCAAGGGGGGACATTCACTTGACTCACGATAGGGATGTTCAGGCAGTAAGGTGCTGTGCGTAGAAGGACCGAAGGTTCCCAGCAGTTTCCCCAGGTGCCAGCCAGCACACCAGTGCCAGAACTGGGACTGAAGCCCCTATTAAGCCCTCAGAGGCTGCTTGTGCTCTGTTTTGACTAGGCAGTTTATTGTGCATGGATCTGATCTGCCGGAATCTGAATCCTATTCTATTGGCAGCAAACAGAGATAAAACAAAAATTTACTATGAAACTAGTATTTGAGACTTTTGTTATAATTCCTAAATAATAAACAGTTCTTCTACAGCAAGTTGCTTTAAAGGTTCCTCAGGTGCTCTGCCAACTGCATGTACACGGATCACCCAGAGAGCCCCTGAACGCAGCCGCTTCTAGGCATGACTGCCATGTTCTGTTCCAAATGATTATCTGGAAGCTTTTAAGAAGAGAAGGGAACAGTAGCCTAAAACAGCAGGGAGAGCATTTCAGGACGCAGAACACAATTGCTCTGCATGGAGCTTGGCCACTGGGATTTTACAGCCTTGTTTCTGTTGGGGGAAAAAAAAAATTAAAAAAAAAAATACAGCTTTGGGATCTTAATGACCAGTGTTTCAATTTTGCTCCTCATTTCAAAGGTCAGAATTAAGTAACCGAATTAGTATGTGTGAGAAGGCTTCCTCTGAAATTGGATCTGCCTTTCTTTGCACCGAGTCTGGTATCAGCAGGTGGGATCAACATTTGCAGAGTGGCTGGGTGACGTGACACCTCACTGAAGCTGCTACAGTTCAGGGAATACCCAAGAGAAAAAGAACAACACCTCTCCTTCGCTCACGCTCGGTCACAGAACAGCAATGTGGTTCAAACAAGGCAACATCCAATCCACACTCATTGCTGGTACAAAATAAGTTCCCTTTGTTAAACACATCAGGAACTCCTAGTGCAAGTGATGAACAGAGCCTTGCTAATATTTTCCAGGCTCCCATCCACCTCCCTCTCCTCTTCCTCCTTAAATATTCTGCAGTTCAGTAAGGTGTACTTTCTCCAATTGACTGCTAATGCTCTAGCACTGTACAGTAACCCAGGAAGTCCCTAAAATAATCATGGAAACAGTAATCAAATTGATGTCTTCCCTTCTAAGGGGAGTACTAAACAAAGCTAGCTGCCACAGGCTGAAACATCCTATGTCTCTTAGGGAACTAACCTTATTAGGTCGATATGGGAACCCTCCAAACGGCCCACGCCAAAAGACCGTGTCTCCTTTTTTCCACGTTTTTATGTATTGTGACATTAGCCCAGCTTCATAGCACTAATAAAAAACATTGCACAAAAGAAAAGAATAATTATACTCTGTTGGAAAGTTTCCCAGCTTAAAGTCAATTATAAAGTTATCTACATTTAAACAAGAAAGGGACAAAAAAAAACATTTCATGTGTTTAAAAAGAAAGAAAGATCATTCTATTTGAAAAATAACTCAAAGTTAGACCCAAAACAAAGACATTTAAATTAAATCATATTGGATCCATTCCAGTTTGACTATAATGTAAACACAACCCACTCTCACGCAGCCTGAATCTCCAAAACTGGAAAAAGCTTATCAGAGTTCTTGCTTACAAAGCACACAGAGAAGAGTGTCTTGAATGCAAAGCACAGTCCAAGCCTTCAAGTGCTCTCAATCTCAGGGTATGGGGTCTGGAAATGCCCTCTGGGTACTAGTAGTTATATAAACAGTGCATAGCTCTTGCTTTATTTCAGTCTCTCAGATGCTGTGTTGATACAATTAGCGATCCGAAGTCAGGTTTCTCATTTATAAAACTCTTTTTTTCAGAACAGATCATCTGGACTCTAAGGGATGTCTTCACATTTAAAAAAAAAAAAATGTTAATTTGGGCCTCCCAAAAGAAAAACTTAGCAAAATCTGCTGTACTTTCTACCAGGCACAAAGGATATTAATCTAGGCTTTTGCCTGCAGGAATGCTAACCTCACTCATGACTGATGAGGAAGGGTCAGTGCTTGCTAGAAACAGAGAAGCAAGAAGAGGCTGGAAAATGAAGGGCTCATCCAAGCAGCCTTGTTGCTATGTGCTGTATATACCTGTACTGTCTATCTGTATGACCACTTTATGGTTAATTAGAACATGCACAGAAGAACGGCCACAGTCTAAGGGATCTGGCCAGGGAATAAGGGCTGGCCCGAGCAGCAAGAGCAGATAAGCCCAGGAGCTGTGGCTGGTCTCGCACAGAGGCGATGCCACTGATAAGCCCGAGGAAGCGCAACACAACCAGAGGTCAAAAGATGAGATATGATTTAAGCCTTCAAAGACTCCAGCCCATACGAAAGAAGCGTATTTTGGGGTATTTTCTGCACACGCATTGGACAGAAGCCCAGCTCCACACCCTGGTGCCTTGGCTGGCCACCAAGCTGCACTGCAGGCAAATGAAATTGGTGAACCACAAAGAAGCTAAGAAAAAGCGAATGAGGGAACGCGCGCTTGTGCTTGCAAGCAGTGTTAGCTAATAAAGAACAGAGATGCTCCTCCCCTCCTAACAACCTCACTTAAACAAGATACCTGAAGTATTAACAACTATTAGCACCGGTTGTTACATTCAAAAGGTAAATGTGTAACATACACATATCAAGGCTCTGAGTTGCTGTCAGAAACATTTTATGTTCAGAGAGCTCTGGGCAGGTACCAAGTCTCTCATGCAAAGAGTGTGCAGTGGCATCAAAGGAGCTGTATTTTATACCTCCCTTCTTCAAATATATATGGAGACCCACGGCAAGAACAGAAAAGGCAGCCCCACTTACTGCCTATTCCCAGTGGACCAGGGTAATGGAAACTAAAACAATCCTTCTTTCACCAAAATTATTTCCAAAAATTGAAGTGAGAAGTGATTGAGTGGGTTTAAAAGGAATTTTTCTAAATAAAAAGAAAAAAATAATTATCTCCTGGGGGAAAACTTCTACACCCAGTTTTACATGGAGAGAAACCCTAACATTACAAAATCACTCAAAAAGAGGGTTATGCTCTCTAAATGGCAACTCCCTCACTCTTAACTGTAGTATCACAAATGCAATGCTATAATAACAGGAGACAGAAGGATTTGAACAGTGCTTGGATTGCATAGTAATAATAATAATATAGTACTTTCCAAAATTGCCTGAATAGTGTGAAATATACCACAACCTACAGGGTGAGTTATAAAAATGGCTGCTTTACACTGGGTGTTACCAACCTCTTTTGTCACTGCCAGAGAATAACTAGAGCTCCCTTTGGGATGAAAGGTTCTATATAAAGGAAAGGTATCATTACAATCATTACTATTATTATTGAAATGCAAAACCTGTGAGTAATAAGCAAGTATACATGAAATTTCACAGTCATCCTGTGAATGTATCCTATTAATGCAACATTTCTCTCCCCTACCATACGCCAATTGCCACAAGAATGGTGAAATGACCCTCCCACAGGTGTCCTATAGAAGCTGTACACTTTTCTAAAGAACAGGATTTGTGTTTGAACATATAACACATAGTAAACCCCAAAAAAGTGAAATCCTGGAAGGCAGGCAGAGGACAAGTGGTCATTCTCTGCAAGCCACCTGGGATACCCAGCACTCTGTGCTGCACACCTATACTGAAGCCTGTGTCTACCCTGAGGAATCACTAGTGACATACAAATGCAGTATCAGAAAAATTTTCATCAATTGGATATTCTCCACACAAAGTAATCATTTATGAGGGCGCCCCAGACTTTATACAGACAAATTTCCAAGCCAAGTTCTCCTACAAAATCCTTCTGAACTCAACCAACATTTTGTGGCGGCCTCCAGAATGGCTGGAACATGCGTCCAAAATGGGGCTTTGCCACCCCTTGCACCTCAATAGGTGCAGCCCGTGGGCCACAGGGACGCTCTCAGCCTGCAGGCAGCTCCAGAGCCCTGCCTGCAAACCAGAAACAGCTGCCTGTCTAGATTTTTAAACAAAATGAAAAATTTTCCTGAGGAGCGTTCTTAAAGCAAAACACAAGGGGGAGGGTAACAGCTGGGCAACGACTCCCCAGACTCAGTGGTTCAACTGGGCTGACAACTGGGTGCGATTTCAAAGACAGATTGAAAAGGCAAAATGAAATTGTGGAAGTGGAAGGGGCACCTCTTTCCACGCTGGTGACCACAGTGCTCCTGAGAGGTTCTCCCAAGTACTTAACAGGGCTTATGCTGCAAAGCACTTGTTTGTGCGTCACCTTCCTCGGCTTTCGGTTTTGTGGGAAAACCTACAATTTTTATCAGCAAAGCACAACCGCTTCAAAACAACACCGAAACAGTCCATGAGGGATTTGAGAGAGTCTTGCTTAAAGTGCTGACAGCGTGCTTGGTTCCTAAAGAAAACACAGGCCCCGGCACCTTCGACTCTAATCCATATTGTACAGGCTTACTTACTTTCATTAACACTTCAAAGTACCCTTCTGCATTCCCTGGGCTAATCGGGGTATAGGCTCGCTGGACCTCCAAACCATTCACCACTCCTCTGAGGAAAGAAATACAGGAACCCACTGTGACTTGGGTCATTGACTGGTATTACCAAACTTCTGCAGTTCTCTGTGGAGATGAGGGAGGCTGCAGGTCCTCTTCCCAATGGCCCAGCCTGCGTACAGATGCAAAACATTTCCCTTCCGGAGGTAAAAATCCGGGGAGTACATAATGGCTAAACACACCTTTTGTTTTCCCAGCAGTGGCCCCAGCTGTACCTCACATTCAGCTCTTGGACACACCCCTGGAAGGATGTTTGAGCTGGTTTGTGAGAAACAGCCAAACGTGCAAGAGTGGCAAAGGCCAGAGAAAATTTTGTTTTCATGGTTAAGTTTGCTACCTCTTTTGGGCTGGGGTCTACTTTCCTTTCTGTGTCCAGACAGCATCCGGTAATTAAATAATGGAAGGTGGGGCACAGCCTTGACCCCAGGTCTTGTCAATATATACCATATTTTCCTTTAAGTCTTCTCTTTCCATAGAATATATCCACCTTGCTCTTTACTACTGACTGTGGTAATTGATTGAAGTGACCGAACCTTCTCCTCTGAAGCATTATGAGAGATGGCTGAAGGGAGAAGCGTGTACTTTCAACAGCCAGCCAGCTGTACACATCAGCTGTTAACGCACAAATAACGTCAACAGATACAGATCAATGGCATCATAACATGACTTTTTCTATCTGGCAATGATCACCACAGATGGCTGAGAGAGACATAAACTCTTCCCAAGTGGCTCCTTTCTGGCAAGCAATAAACTATGCAGGAGGGTTGTTTTGTTAGAAATCAGGCAGGAAATGCCTGGACACCGGGAGTAACACCCCGAGTGCTGAGTTACCTCAAGACACATGGCCTAAAATACCAAGCTCTGGGCTAAGCACAGCTCATTGTCTTCATCCCAACATGCTGGAGTAAATCATCTGTCTTTGACTCTTTCTGCAAATGGGTTTTCTTAATCACACCTGGTTCTTTCTAACCCACTGACGCAATGATAATGCTGAGGAAAAATACAGCTTTGGAATGGCTTTTACTATAAAATTAGTAGCACTAACGAGCTCACAAGTTCTTTCATCTGTGTTACCGTGGAGGTATAGGAATTATGATTTGCCTGGTATGAAGGCTTTGTCTATCGACAAAAACCTACATATTAGGTTACATAATGCAGACTGTTTAACTAGCAGAGAGAACAATACCTTAACACGATATGTTGTCCTAAACTCAATCGCAGACTGCTATTTCCCGGTAATTCAAATTTGTACTGGTAGGTGTCCTCTGTTAGCTGCTCCACTGAGCTTATGTTGAATGCAGTAAATGTATCTGGATTCAGTTCTGAATTATTGCTCTGCAAGAACAACAATAAATAATTACTTGGTTAGATGGTGTCTTTTATTATTTCATTTTTCTTTGGAAGCAACCGTGTGTGCTAATTTAGTGCCGGAGATACTCAGGACTCCAGAAGTACGCGTATTAAACGCTGGGGCCCAGCGCAAATTTCAGCTCTCTGCTGATTCATTATCATGTTCTGCGGCATGCACTTTGGGATCTTACATTCCCTCCCCCTCCCCCTTTTAAATTACATTTTTACACCTTCCAGCAAGGTCATCCTATTATGACTCACCACAATCATTTTCTCTTGTCTGGAAACAAACAGAAATAATACTGCTAAAAGAGCTGAGCGCTGCTTTGGGGGCAACTTTGAAACCTACCGACGACCACTGGGAATAGGAAATATTGTTAGCTGTTTCAATGCTGATCATTTTTGCTTGACCCAGCATAGTTAATCTTATGTAAAAGGGCACTGACAAGTTTAAAATTACGCTCTGAAGACAACTACTCCACCACACACAAAGAAGCTTTTTTCACCCTCAGAATAAGTCAAAGAATCGGGAAAAGGTGAAAAAGGTCAGGAAAACAGAGGTTCTCCGAGGAAACCATCAGAGAAAATTGTGATTCTTTGTACCTTTCACCTATTCCCACTTTCCAGAGAGGCTGGCTCTGGCTGGCTGAGGTACCCGAGCAAGGAGAAGCTGCAGACCCAGGGCTGTAATGCGACACCAGGGTGAACTCGACACTTGGAAAATCACATTACAGCAGGGAGAGAGCGGGCAAGGGGGAGGGTGGCTGTGAAGGCAGAGTTTGGGGAATTGCCTTTACAGTCTTCTCTTAAGGCACTGCTTTAATCTACTGCTGCATCCCTTGCCCAACACCACAACCCCTCATGCTAACAAGTACGATCAAAGCACAGGCTCTAGGATGTGAAGAAGATAAATTGACCTGCTCCTTGTTTTCCAGGAGGAGGCTTTTGTCTTGCTTGGCTTTGGCCCTCTCCCATTGTGCAAGCTCCTTCTCATACACATCATAGATGCAGGGTTTGCAGCCACTGCCGCAGCACTGGGATGAAGAAGGTTCCTGGGGTTTGAGAGCCAGCCAGTCGTGCTCATTTCCACTCATTGTCTGCAAAACACAAGCCCTGCATCAAAACCAGCACACTGAAGAGCAGCACGTGCTCATCAGCCAAGCATTATTTAGAGAAGGACTGAGAAAATCTCTCTTAAGCATCCTGCATGTGTATCTCAGAGGACACAGAAAACTGAAAACCTGCGAGCCGATCTGGTGCCTGCAATGCTCCATTTTTGCTCAAGTGCTCGCTCGCTGCCTCTGAGCTATCCAGTGCAGGAATACCAGACGTGGCAGCTACAGGCCCAGAGCTGCACAGCTGACCCCAGCCCAACCTCAAGCTCCGCTTCCCAGCCTGGCTGCCCAGCAAAAGCAACCTCCAGCAGCAGCAGGCACACCCTTACTCCTGCTCGTTCTGCCATGGTGATTTCTTACAAAAGAGCAGCTTGGTCAACCGGAGCACAAACATCTTTAAAAAAATCTGCAGCTGGCTCCAGGAGAACAAGTAACAAACCCCAATCACCAAGACATGGCCTGCTGGAGCACAGCTTTAAAATGGGAGGAGGGCAAATGTGCTGAAAGTGGGGTTTAGAGCCAAGAGACTAGAGGCAAACATGGTAAAGTCACAGACAAACAAACGCTTTGGTTATCTGGCAGATTTGAGTCGGGCTTTAAATGCAGATAAAAGGCAAGAACCACGGGCAGCATGATTTTTATCCCTTACAACCACCCTTGTTCCAGACAGGCATATACCTACTGAATGCTCCTCAAACCGAAATCACGATGCAGCCCTCTGAGGGACTCTGCTATTTTTACACAATGGTGGGCTTAACGCTGTTCCCAATGCATCTGTAACTCTATCAGACAAAAGGAGGTCCAGAGGAAATTACAAAGCCACGGGTGAGGAGGCTGAGGAAGAGAACACTTAACACTTAAGAGTAGCTTCATTTTCAAGGTTAATTAATTAACTAACCTTCACCCCTGCAACACAAATACACTTATTCTAACATTACAGGGAGAAAAAAGAGAACTAAAAGCTTTCCACAGCGGCTGCCAGGTCCGTGCCCCCATAGCGGGCCTGGGGGCCCTGAGCACCCACAGCTCCTCCAGGGGTGATGAAGATGGGGGACCCTGACTAGGCCGCGGGTGGAACCCTGAGTCCCGAGGCTCGGGCTGGCCACATTTATAGAGTTCCGAGCACTCACTGTGTACGGCTGAGGGCCTGGGCACTCGCAGAACCCGCCCCGCGGAGCCCCGGCTCAGGCCCCAGGCCCCAGTCCCCAGGCCCCAGACCTGCAGGCCCGGCAGCCCCCGCCCCCCAAGGGCCGGTCTCTCAACTGCTCCTCCC